GAGATGACCAGTTTCTGCAGCGGTTCAATATTGTGAGGACAAACACACACACTCTTATACACACACACACACACACACACACACACACACACACACTCATTCATACAGAGTAATTTAATGCCTCTTATTGCATAATAGCATTTTCTCAACGTGGCCTCTCTGACAAAAAGCAGTGCTACACTTTTCAGAATGTGCATTTCAGGATTTCTTTTTTCTTTTCCAGCACCAAAATTAAATTAAATACTTTTCCTCTGGGGCTGCATCATTAATCAAAAGTGCAATATGGACTAGTGCAATAATCAAAACGAAAGAAGCAGTATATATGTTACAGGTTAAAAAATATTTGTTAAAACCAAATTTGAATGAAGTATTCTTGAGACTAGCACCATATATTAAAATATCCCACCATGATTTATTTATTTTATGATCTGTATCAAATATTTATCAATGATAAAGATGCAGAATGATCACTACCTCTAATATCGTGAAACATATCCCAATTGCAATATCAGTCAAAATAATTGCAACAAGTTATTTCTGTGTATATCACCGAGCACCACATGCTGTTTTTATATCCTCAATCGTTCTGCTTCGTCTGCCTCATTTAGCACTATGCATCTATAATGAAGTACATCAGCCAGCCCCCGCTCCTGCTGGACGTTCACATCCACAAACCTCTGCTCCCCGCTCGCACCTGGATGGACTCTCTGCTGGCCTTCTTCCCTGGACTGCAGGTCAGATTGGATCATAGACATTGAAGGTGTTACTCTTCTAATGTAGGCTTGTTGTGCCATTTCAGTAATCATTGTTTTCAATCTGCAGGTGTTGAAGGGAGATATCCGTCCTGCCATCGAGACACATGAGATGCTGTATCAAGTCACAAAGAAACACAACTTCCTCCCCGAGGTAATCTGTCTTTGTGTAACCAACATGAAAATAGGTATAAACTGCTCTACAAAAAAAGTCACTTGGTGTTTTTTAATTTGACCGTGGAGTATTCGTAACCCCATATGGCTTGTGTCTCCAACTGTAACTGTTTGGAAGAGAAGCAGCTTGCGTTTCACACGACACGGCTGCTTTTTAGCTTCGCCTGTCTGTTCTTATTACGATGCTTTGGATGCTGTGCTGACCCCTTTGTCCTTCTCCGTCTCTCCCCAGGCCTTCACTACTGATTTCAGGGTACACTGGGCCCAACATCCCCTGAGGCCTGAGTTTGCAGAGAGCACCTATTTCCTTTACAAGGTAATTTATCACAGAAAGCCTTTCATAATGCAGGAGTTCTCTTTTCACTGTACTGAGAGCCTATTATCAGGCACCAGATTTAGCTAAATTACATTAACTTGCAATTATGAAAAGACTCATTACACAGTTTCAGACACACTATCTCCATTTCTGCAGTTAATAAGCATTATTCAATACTTTGCCTTTGGCATTCGGGTGTCTTGTAAAATATGTATGAAGGAAAATCTTTGTGTCTGATCAGGACTCACTGGAGACTTCTCTAACGTTGATGTTCTGTCCTCTGTTATTTTTATATACAGTACAGTCTTTGTTATGAACTTTCTTCTTTACTCCCAGGCCACAGGAGACCCTTACTACCTGGAGGCCGGTCGCACCATCCTGGACAACCTCAACCGCTTTGCTCGTGTTCCCTGCGGCTTCGCTGCGATGAAGGACGTGCGGACTGGGAGTCACGAGGACAGGTCAGGATATAAAGAATAAAGTGTTACATGAGATGATGTAACACCTTGTATAAGCCACAGCAAGTGAGGCAATGGAGGGTTTAACAGTGGGATAGGTTAGATTTCATTAAACTATAACTGAGCTGGATTAATATTGAATTAATGATGTTAATAATTCAGATTAAAATACATAATTGATAATACATAATGGCTAGGACTTGTGTTTAATCAAACAAACATATGCCACGGTCTTTGAAATGATCAAATGTGTTTATTTAAAGAGTTATGTAAAAAAAAACCGGGCGCTAAATCAGGTTATTTTAACAATAAAAACAATTCAAACATGTTACAATTATTTATTTATTAGGAATATTTTAATATTAGAGTAAATATCTGCAATCAGTATTATAAATTAATAAAAGGATAATATAATAATTAGAAAGATGCTTAAAAATGCATAAAAAATAGATGCTTGAAACATGAAGTCAAATACATATCAAAATGTGACCAACAAAACATGAATGTACCACATATAGAGAAAACAGCGCAGATAAGGTGAACAAATACAGCCTGCTGGTAAGTCTGGCTCTACTCTGCTACGCCCTACATGATTATCTGATCAATTAACCAACAGTTATAACCTCTCACCTCTTCCCTTGGATCAGGATGGACTCGTTCTTCCTTGCTGAGATGTTTAAATACCTCTTCCTGCTGTTTGCTGATGATGAGGATTTACCGTTTGACATCGAGGACTACATCTTCACAACCGAGGCTCACCTCCTGCCCCTGTCTCTCTCCACCACGCCTCACTCGCAATCTATTCCCTCAAACCGAACGGTACTCCATACAACAACAATTAAAATAGGACTTTAAAGGTCACCTATTATGCAAAATCCACTTCTTCATGTCTCTTCTACATCAACATGTGTCCCCTCTGTGTAAAGAGATTCTGAAAGTTTCAGGAAAAAAGATTCTCTCTCTTTTTGTCCTGATCCATTTATATAACAACCTGTCTGAAAATGAGCTGATCAGATTTCGGCCACTTTATGATGTCATAACGATTTTTTGGCTTGTGTAACCATTAGCCAATCAGCAACCAGGGTAACCCCCACCTTATCACCTGAATCTCCTCCTAGAGCTCCATTGTGTTCTTTTTAACCAAATATCTCTCAGAGGGGCGTGGGGGAGGGGCTCCTTGTTTTCATCTAAAGTAACAGACAGAGAATCAGCACTTTGGAAACAGAGGGGATTATGGGTAATGATCTGTTTGGTGTTTTGAGCCAAACACTTCAGAGACATGTTTTGTATTTATCTGAGACCTATAATAAAGTAATGAAAAACAGTATAATAGGGGACCTTTAAATGAAAGCCTGTATATATCAGTTCCTAACAGAATCTGTATTATACTCATACTGCAGTCAGAGGAGGAGATGGACGACTCTAACTTCGAGTGGACGTGCCCTAACACTCGCCTCCTGTTTCCTGACCCCGCATACCCTCGTCATCTGAGGGAACCAATCCGTACTGCTGTGGATAAGAGCTGCCCCCGTGCTGCTCCTTACAGGTATGCAAACACACTGACCAGGTTCTGTGCCTGCCCTTTGTTATCTACTCTCTGTAATGCTGTATCTCTTCCATGTTATTAACTTCTGGCTCCTTTCCCTCCTGTCAGGGAGCCTGGAATGGGCCGTCCTCCCCTCAGGGCGCAGGACTTCATGGCAAACAACCCCGAGCATCTGGAGCTGCTGAGGAGGATGGGCGTCACTCTCATCCACCTGAAAGATGGCAGGGTGCAGCTGGTGCAGCATGCTACACAGGTACGCTGTCTATCAACAAGGGGACACATCTACATATCCTCTTTAGTGGCTGATTAAAAGACACTGAATCCACGGCATGAAATAATCTTTTAAGTCTATTAATCGTATGCTCTTGGCAGTTTTGTGTTAGATATTATACTATTTTTTTTATTTGTTCTATGTCCTACTGTATATATATTCATGTTGCACTGTTTGACTTAAGTTTTTAATTGCCATATCTACACTGTAGCTAATGTGCACATTAGTCCTTGAGGGAATAAAGGGGAGTAATGATTCTATAATGTTTCTTCACCAGTATATACATACGAGTGTAAAGCAAGATACCTCTAAAAACATACAATGCTATCTCTAATGAAGAAAAAACACATTTTCAAAATGTCAATAGTTGTTTGTCAAAAAGAGAAATTAAGTGCATATTGTTTTAAAAGGAATACTTCACCCACAAAATGACCAATGACTGTTACCTTGGATTTGTAAAGAGAGCAGGCCTCCACGGTAAACGGAGAATCCAAAAAATCTTGATTAATTGTAAATGCTTAAATTCATTTATTTTCACAAAAACTTTACTTTTTAAAACACTTTAGCACAAACGGTACATGCATGTACAAGTAGTTATTTAAACTCTACAACATTGTTTTTTGAAACCCTCTCTCTTCTTCCTCTCCTCTCCCAGGCGGTGAGTGCGGTAGCGGCAGAGGACGGCGTGCGCTTCATGCAGGATATGATGGAGCTGTCCAGCCAGCAGCAGAAGGAGCAGCTACCGCCCCGAGCCATTCAGATCGTCTCAGATCCGTTCTTTGGCAGGGTGGTGCTGACCGCCGGCCCAGCGCAGTTTGGCATCGACCTGTCCAAAAGTGCCACAGGAGTGAGTAGTTTGAGTAGCTTTGCCAAGCTGCCAGGTTTTGAACGGGCATTCAGTCCTCCTGTTTGTTTTCCCTCTGAGAGCCTGTCACTTTTTTCCTGGCGTTTGTAAGAGGGCTCTTCCTCTCCTACAATATCCTCCTGATTCAAGTGTACATGGTTTCAGCGCCAGAGGAGAACATGTGGACAACTGCAGCACCTTATTTGAAAACTTGTTTCATTATTATTTGCAATAATTCCTCTTCCTGTCTCTTCCCCAGTTACGAGGTTTTGTGACGGTGGCAGAACCCTACAGCGGCTGCAGCGAGATCACCAACCCTGAGTACGTGCGGGGCCACATCGCCCTGCTTCAGAGGGGCCAGTGCATGTTCGCAGAGAAGGCCCGACACATCCAGAAGGCTGGCGCCATCGGAGGCATCGTCATCGGTGAGTGTGAGGGGCTAACGACGGAAGATGACTGCGCAGTGACTAGATTAGAGCTCCATAAATAGATTACCTTGAAGACAGCCAGTCGATTAGGGTCCTGCACAATACATGATGATTTAATAATAAAGCACAACTCAAATAGGCTTGATCTTAACAAACTGCTTCTATATACAGTGATGCAAATTAGTCGCATTTCGGCGCCTCCCGCTTTTTTAACGCTGATTTGGGTGACTTGTGTAATTCGTGGAGAACCGAAGAGTTTTCGTTTTGGGGGGGTCCGTCAGTCCGTCCGTGACAACTTCTCACTTCAAAAAAAAGAAGAAGAAATCTAGATCGCAAAATAATTAAACAAGCGAGTGCCTGTTTTTCCTGGCCAAGGACAGGTTCATTGAACACAACACGAGCGTAACGTGTCTTCACCATAGGTCTTCACGTGGTTATGTATCGTCTGGAAGGTGTAACGGAGAGCATCGGAACGCTGCTCCAGCTCTTCAAATATTGCAGTACCCATAAGTAGTGATGGCAAAATGAAGCTTTGAATGAAGCGTCGAACCACTTGGACAATTGTGTCGGAAATAGGTTCATTTCTCGAAGCTTCAGTTACAGCGACCTCTCCTGGCGAAGTGCAAGGCTGCAGTGGGTTTAACGCATCTTTGCCTTGAAAAATATTCGATACACACACTAAGACTGAATATCATGTTCTATTTGCCATTAAAGATTGATAATAGTGTGTATTGGGTTATTGAGAAGAGACTCGAGAGTGCTTGACATTTGTTTGGGCGGAGAGGGCCTTTTATCAGTTATTAAAGTATTAAAGTTGAAAAGCAATGATTAAAAGTTTAACTATTCCGAGCTTTGACCCAGCTGCGCGGAGGATATCGCCGCATCCTAGCCGCCGGCTCTATCCACTGGGCTATCAATTCCTTAGACCATCGAAGTGTTTTTATATTACTCATTGTCTTTTTGTTCACAACTTCTCCACATTTCGAAGTGTTTCACGAGCCAGAACGACCTATTTATCTTCCTGGCTTGCTCTATAATGATCCAATTAAAATACAATGCCAACAACAACTCAACAGCAACAATGCAAACTACGACAACAACCCACACATTGCGCATTGTTTAGAGCGGTTATAAAGTGTTGAAGCGCTCAAATGTGAAACTGTTTCAAACTGTCACCTGTCAGAATCGAGACGAGGCAGAGTGCATTGAATCACCTGATTGGACGGCAAACCAGTGAGTTGATTCATTCAGGAAATGAAGCAGTTGCTGGTTCGGACGTCACATGTCACGTGATTTGAAGCAGTTGCTGCTTCGGACGTCACATGTCACGTGATTTGAAGCAAGCTTCGAAGCACTGCTTCTATGGAATAGGAAGTCCAGGGTTGAAGCGCCGTTTCGAAGCTTCAGTGTCAAACCTGGCCATCACTGAGTAATCTGTGTCATCATGTTTGTTGAGGTCCTACCTGCCTCAGCTATCGTAGACGCGCACTCATTATATGTTTCGGTTAGCGTTTGTATTCACTGTGTAAATGTGTCAATGAGCATGATGCGTGTGACTGCAGTTCCTCGGAGCTTCCGGTTTCACATCTTCTGTGCTTGTTCACCAAACATGTAGAAGGTCTGTCGTTCTTGACTATACAGACGGTCTTCATACTGTCATTCATCTAGCACCTCATGTGCAGAAGTGACATGCATTGGATTGTCATCAGGACCCGTTCATGAAACACTGCCCAGATCAGATGTCATTCATTGTTTATTTCTTAAGAATCCATTTATCTGATCAAGACTAGTCCCCTGTCTTGGGGTCTGATGCGTGAGCGTGGATGTGATCATGCATGCACAAGCTTACCAACTCATCATCAGCGCTCTCATTGCTGCTGTGCTGCTCTACGCTCCATCTTAGTGAATCTCTGTTGGAGTCTCAGCTTATGATAGCAGTAGGGTCTAGGACTGTGAGTGTTTGGAGCGGACAGTCGATCTGCGCCACTGCGGAGTGCTGCCAGAGCTGACTGGTCATGATGCAGGACAATCAGGAAATGTTCATATGATAGTCGTTCACTGGTTGTGTTCAGAGAAGGCGACGCAAATTCAGAGAGAGTCCTGAGAAGGAAAAGTGTTTGAGTGTGCGTGTGGTTTTTCCATATTGGGCAAAAATATTATTGGCCTACCAACTTTTTCCTGCTGATTTAAAAGTGCCTCAACAGCTTAGTGGACA